TGGCCTGATTTACTCAATAATTACTCCTTTATTATAAATAATAGAAAAAAATGGTTCAGGACTTTTCGACTCAGTTTTATTCCTTCTATCTGCCTACGAGAGATTGTACGGCTATTCTGGGACACCCTGTATATACATATATATTGCTGACAATCAACAGAACGATCTCTTTTGATGGTGGATTTACGTTGACATTAGAATTGGACGATGTGAAGAAGGAAGCGACTCGTTTGAAAACGTTCCGTTATGTTTCTGCAGAGCCGGTCGAGTATCAGAATGTCGATTCCGAGACGATAAAATCAGAAATGCCAGATGGTGCGGAAAACTCCTCGTTACATACAGCGACGACTGAAGAAGCGCGAGTGAACGGCTCAGCGGAGCCAGACATCGATGAGGGATCCGAGTTTGACGATGAGAAAAACGAAAGTGAGATTTGTCTATTTTCGGGACGTTTTGTCGTAATCTGATATGATATTGTGTAATTTTCTCGAACGTTATTGACTCACCGGAGATAGACCGTGTCTGCGTCTATTTTCGCGTAAAATGTTTTTATGATTCAATTCTTTTTATCGCATGTAAGAATTTAAAAAATATCAATTAATTACTCCGCATTGTTTTTTTAATCAGAGATTTAGAGTTTTTGATCACTTCGATCCGTTCCAATTCTCTCGATTCGACAAATGCCAGAGAGAGCCCCCCGTAGCTTTTCTTTTAACCCAAGCATTTTCTCTTCGTTCGCAGGATATCAAACAGCCGTATTTACACTGACTACGTTTGTTGCGGTTTTTGCGCTCTATGTTTACATAGTGTACAGCCTCAGCAGTCCCTCGCCGCGTCTGTCCCGATGTTAACGCGCGCCTGATCAATTAATCTGGAAGCGATGGATCGAGCGTAGTTGTGCGAGTGTCGAATTGTTCGCGTTGAAGACGGGAGAAACTTGTTCTGTGGCACACTTAAACAACAAGACAATATAACTGTAACTTAAATAATAAATGTCGCAGAAATGATTTTGCGTTCTATATTAGTATCGTCAACTTCTTGACAGCTTCGTCAACTTCTCGATAAAAGTGATTTAGTTGAATTGTCAGACGACGTGGCCTATTCACAGAAATTAATTAAATTTCTGAAATCCTTTGAGCAACGGTTTCCTTAGCTCGCTACGTGATATAACACGCGTACGACCTTATCTTTCTCTCCTCCTTCTCTTCTCTCTCTCTCTCTCTTTCTCTCATACACACTTACACATACACACATTCTAGAACATACAGATATATTGTGTCGCATAAATCTTACCGCTGCGGACTCGGAATTATGCTCGAAAGTAATATGTTTTAAGCGTCTGCAACACGCTATATAATTACCAAGGCTGAACGCGCAACGCTGTCACATTTTCTTGCGATAAAAGTTTCCTACAAGAAAACGCGTGTGTAAATAATCACAATCGATTCTATCGATCTTGATTGTTGCCGTTTTTATCTCGACGCTGACTAGACGTTTCTCGGATGTTTTTCTCGATTCATATCGTACAAATCAAGAGGCACGGTACTGCCGTTCGAGCGCGACTTCGTTGCGCGTGTCTTTAAAAACGTAACTAAAATAAAGTCACGTGACAGTGAGGAGAGGAAAAACAGCACGTGACTTTATTAGTCACGTGGTGTTTTTTCACTATTTTTTTATTTTGATTTTCATGCGTTATTTCTTACATCTTTCTAATGTGTATTACATGGTTTGTAAAACGTATATACTAGCTGTCATCGCGGTGACAGGTTGTGTTCACTGATACTAGACGTTAAAATAAAAACACAACGATAGCGTACGCGTAGCGCGCGCCTGTGTTGTATTAGTTGGAAAAAAACGTCACAAGACAGAGCTTAACGTAAACGTTTGCATGTGAACGCGTGATATTCAGCGTGACGAGATTTTTCTCATTTCATAACGAGTATTAAATCGGCTTTACAGCCTTTTCCCGAGAAGCGTTGCTTGCACAATCCGCGCGCAAGCAAAACATGAGAGAAAGGAAGAAATCGACTTTTCGAGAGATCGAGACTCGCTCTTTCTCTTTCTCTCTCTCTCTCTCTCTCTTGCGGATAAAGGATTACTTTACCCGTGTGATGTGGGTTGAAGCGATGCGGAAACGTCGGCGGCTCTTTTTGATTAAAAAGAACGCTGGCCTTGGTGGCTTCCATTTGCATTTCCATCTCACAAGATTGCAGGGCTAGTACGAGGAAGTAGCGGCGGCGGCTCAACCCGCTGGATATACGCGCGCGCTGTTTAGTTTTTATTTTATCATATACGCGCGTAGTATAGTATACCGCTGCTATAAAAGAAAAACAGAACTCTCTGCGTTACGTATACATATTTTTGTATTTGTTCTAAACGACGAAAAAGTTATGTACAAAAATAAGAATCGCGTTGACGTTTGACAAAAACCAAAAAAAAACTCCCGACGTTTTCAATCAACGGAAATTGGCGGAGATTGAAAAACTATCGCGTTCCAGACACATATTCTGTGTCGGCCTCGCGGCGAGATTTCGACGACGACGACGACGACGGACGAAATAGACGGCGCATTTGGATTTGAAATTACCACTTAGACTCCCGCGGATTGGGTTAAATTGCAATTTCTGCCGTGGCGGGAGCCGCAGTCCTGAATTATTCGATTACAGCGTCTGCGACGACACTTTCGTGTAAATTCACATCCGTCGGGTTTTCTCAATACCCGATCGGATTCGTCAACGCGCGAAATGTTGCATGCGCTCACTTATTTTTCTAAATGACGACGGGATAATATACAGCGCGATGTGCGCGCGACAAACTGAATAAAAAATGCGTTTTGACGCAAACATTGTACGTTTCATTCAAACGTGTGTGTATATTTTGATATTTTCTATATCTCGATTATTTAGCAGTCGATGTGTGTTGTGTTTTCGTTTTCCGCGCGATGTTAAATCATTTAACGCGAATCTGTATTCAAGTCCCACCGCAAGCCGCAGTTGCTTCAATGCCCGGAATATAACCGAACCTCGCCTGGTTGTGCAGTAATACATAATGCCGCAGTAATGCATAATGCTTTATTCGGTCGCGCGAGCACACTACGCGCGCAATATTCGAGGAGGGGATGGCGAATGTATGTGGGAAATTTGCAAAACGGTGTCGCGCATTAAAATGCGTTTACTTTAACTCCACAAACGTGGCAAATCGCACGGTGATTTAAAACAAGCTGCGAAAGTTGCGTAAATTACCAATGAGAATTGGATCGAAAAATAATAATGTCAATAAAATGCTCACCGCTGAAACAATCACACTTCGTTGTTGCGCGCGCGCCGCTGTGCTATTTGAATGATAAATCAATGAAATGGCAGATCCGACAATGGAGATTTAGTGACGGACTCAGACCGATTGTTTCCACTGCGGAAAGTAGCGTTTCTCGCGCACCGGTCGGACATCAGTATGCATCGGCAGTAGTGACGATCGGAGTGTTTGCTTTCACGACCGCGCTGCTGCAACCCTTGTGAATCCGACCTGGCTATCGACGCGACGGCCCTTTAAATCATGCCGTTGCTTTGGTTCGAACGACTTCGTGCACCGATGAATTTTTTAGCAAGTCGTCCGTGGTTCTTTGCAATTCCGCAATCGGGGTTTTGAGAAAAGGGAAATATTTATTAAGAGAGAGGAAGCTGCGTGCTTTCGTGGTGGAAATAAAAATCGCAGCGTAGCGAAATGACGTATCTGTCGCGGCGGAAAAGCGAGTTTAGCGCAGGATTTATTTCGATGCGCCGTTTATTGCGGGGACGCGATTTATGGCCTGAGAAGCGACTTCGCGCGCGGTCTCGAAAAGATTGGAGTCTCTCTCTCTCTCTCTCTCTCTCTTTCTCTGGAGATGGAGAGTTACACCCGAGTTACAAACACCTCTTATATTCGCGTAGACGACGTGTAATCCTCACGCAGTTCTCGACTAGACCTCGGTAACGTCGTAATCCTCTCTCGTAGCAGCTCTTACTCGAAAATCATCTCATCGAAACGACCTCGCTCGAGGCACTTAAAACATGACCACACGCTGATGCTCCGCGCAGATACCAAATTCGTAACACACAGCGGTTTCACGCCGGACGTATCGTCAGCAGTTCTCATGCGATATAAATGTATTTCTCCGTAATTCAATATGGTCGATCTGCGGAATTTTGTCAATTTAAAATAGACATTGAATGTAACGTAATTTTTCAATAGGTTTTACTTCGCGATGCGAAACAAAAGTTTTATTTATTCGTATTTTACAACACTTCGAAAATATATAGCTGATTAAAAACAATCTTTATGTACAAAATGCATGTACGATTTGTATTGTACGTGTATTTGCGTGTACGTGCGTGTATCAATAAAAAAGCTGATGCATAATTATGTGGAAGCTTTTACCAAAATATTGCTACGTATATACGTGAACGTATGTGAAAAACAAAATATCCGAGAGATTAAATCAGCTGAACATTGTTGCATTAACGCCATACGGTTGTGGTGTCATTATATCCGTTCGCGATATATCGCAGAAATTATCCGTTCGCGATATCGTAGAAATATGTCGACGATTATGTTGGTTTTATTATCGGTATATAATGAGCGCGATTATACATATGATATGAGGCTCCATCCACGATTTTATCGATAAGAGACGAACGTGAAAATCCTCGGGGATTATAATTTAATCTACACGTGTGTGCGCGTTTATCACGCGCGTAAACCAGAAATTCTCAATTTTGTACACGCTTTTCCAAATTACGAGACTGACAAAATTCGCGAGAGAGTGTGTTACGATTCTCTCTCGGAATTCTCTTCGTGACTTTATTATTAAAAAAAAACAAAAAAAAAAAAAAACAAACGCTTGCTACATCTGTTCAATTTATTTTACGTGATATAAACGATAAAAACAAGTTCGGTGCAATTTTTTTTAGCGAAACACAAGAGAAAGCTTAATTTAAAAATATTTAAAAATTGCTGATTTACGAGATTATTGAGATTGACGTTCGTTCGTCGGACCAGTGTGACAACGGAATGTTTTATTTCTTTGTCTCGTTGGATCGGCGCAGCGTAGTATTTGCACACATCGCATAGTGTGTCGGAAGAGACTGACGGTATTACAATATAAAAGCTCGAGAGCAAAAAAAAGTATTAAAATATATTTTCTCGCGCGCGAAGAATATGATATACTGCGGCAACATTTTGAGTAAATAGCCTTGTAACGTTACACGGATTCTCTTTCACGTATTTTTAGTTGAGGAAAAAAGATCATCTCTTTCTCTATTTGCAGTTTTGTAACATCGAAGAAAACTTTCAATAATTTGTGCGAATTAATTTTTGAAAAACAAAATAAATCACGGTTACGTATTTATTTGTTTATAGAATTTCGCAGAATTATATGACAAAATACAATTGAACGTTCTTGCCATAGTTGCGAAACAATTTCCATTTATGAGGGGGCGCCGAGTGATATTCTATCCGAGTTGTTCGCGAAAGAACGCTCAGCATCCGACGCGCGGAGTCTCCAAAAATCCACGTTCGAGACGCAACATCGCGTCGCGCAAAATCGAGATCAGGTTTTGGATTTCCACTGAGATTCCGGGCCTCTCTCATGATGGCGAGCGAGAGGCATTTCGCGATATATATCCTCCTCCGAGAAATAGACCAACCGTGAATTCTCATGTGTAGTCATCATCGAACGGCGGATCTACGGAAAATACGCGAATCGCGCGCATTCGGGAGCAGCAAATTCTTGTAAAAATAAGATTATTTTCTTGTTTTTTTTCGTTTCGCTTAAGTGAAGGTGTAGTTATATATATTCGATATTCTCCATATCTGTCTCTTAAACTTTCATTCCCGCTTTAGTTTGTTCTGTGCTAGTCTTGCATTTTGCTTTTATGGAGATTTTGTTTTCATATACTTTATTCTACAAAATAATTAGACGTATTTCATATATATATATATATATAAGCCAA